GAACACCATCATCCACCGATGATAAGGGAGATGCACACTGAGCCAGTCATCACTTTTATTAAGTATACAGATACGGATGGATTTCCTGAGCCATGCAGTCTTTCTTCTAGTAGCTACTTTGTCTGCTTTCTGATAGGGTAACCTGCAATATGTTGAAGTAACTTTGGGATTCAAGACTTATTACCCATTCTATAAATATATTTTATGTCATTTTTGTTTAAGTGGCATTCGGGACCGGAAAAAACAATCAAAAAATGGGTGGGTTGCCAATTATAATAATGAATTTTATAACTGAATATTATAATATTGAATTAATGGCTGCGGATTTTCGAAGTACTACTTTTTTTAATGTAATATGTTTACCACGACTGCTAGGTTCAACCTACAAAAACAAACGGGAACCAATTTGGACCTTAAAAGGTTTTTATGTGTGAAGCTGAATGTAACATAAAGATAATTACTGCGTGCGAATAAATTCCGATCCCATGTCATTTCTAAAAGAATATTTATGTCTAAAAATAAATTGTCTTGGAGGAGCTAGGCAAAGCTAAATAAAGCGTATGCTAATCAAAGCCAAAAATGGAGACGAAACTACAGAGAAAGATAGCCCGTACACTTTTATATGCGCGCAATGGCTAGGCGATAGTCGTGCATTTTCAGTCCATTTTACTTCCTATGTGTTTGCAAAATTGCAGTATCATATAAAATTCGAAATGTGACGAGACTGGACCATGTCAATACGTTTAATTAAATCGAGCTCGTATAATCTGGGTGCATAATGAGCGGGAAATCTGGTTGCCTCAGTCCAACTTAATGGCAGAAGTTTACTAACGCAACATATAATTCACAGTTCTCGTTAAACCAATCTTGAATATGTACTCGAAATATAGGCTTTTCGTTAACAATCGTACCTTACATTCCGTATAATACGAAAGTACATTTATTGGAACATTTTACAACGTAACTCTACTTGTGCTGCTTTATGTACGCGTTTTTTCTGTATGAACATGTGTTCTGTAAATGTTCTAGTTGAGTTTGCCAAGTACGCGCGATTTCTACATTTTGTCAGAATTTCCGCTTTTGTTAAAATGCTCGTATTTGTATACAAATGATATTACGTAATCAAGCGTAATACACCCTACCTTGCAGACGTGCAATTGCATAACTGATGTCAATATTCATAAATTAGCAGAGCTACTGTACTACGCTTTATCAAGTCGCCCTCTTGTAGTTTTATAATCTAGATACACAATGTATTAATCAAAGTTATTTATGACGCGAAGACCGCTTGTTTCGCTAGTGAGTACGAGGCGCCTTCACTAATATTCAAATGGACACTTTTGATGGCGAAGTTTGACCCTTTGGCATTATTTTAATATTAAAAGCTTATAGAGCATAGGCCGCTTGCAATTAATATGTCCAACCGCCAGGTATAAGGGAATTAGAAGCTCAAAATATTTATGTTCACCATTAACGTATACATGCGTCCTTTTGCAATACACTTCAGTGCTTTGGAAAGCTACTTTTCAGATAAGCGGGAAACTATGCTTTGTATTAAGAAAGACTTCTTGTTACAACCGTCCTTCCAAAAGTTTCGATGATTGATTACTGACAGATCAATCTGTGACAGTTAACAACATATTGGTCATTTTTCAACAATTTCTTTGTAAAGTTACCTTTTTGACGATTTTCAAAAGGAAAATCCGTAATTTGCAGTGTTTTACACGATGTGTTTTCTACCATTTTCAATTGTTAGAATACCAGATGTCTTGACGTAAGTTTCAAGCAGTGATATTATTTTTATGTGCACGCATTTCCCGGAAAGCATTTCACAGGAAATATTTCTTTCCAAATTCTTTGCTGTGTTTCGTCCTCCTATGACAATAAGCGACCAAATGTTCTACGGGTGAAGAGTTTTGCGACATAAGAAAAGGAGTTGGTTGGCAGTACTATCGCTACTACTGCTACTACAAATAGCATGTCAATGACTAAATTGTCGAAGTGGTTAGTTAGGCCTATAAAAATTTACTCTAGCAGGATTTGAAGTCTTTGAATGGATATAGGGCGAACATTTTATTCAATTAGTGTTCGTAAAGTGTTCGTAGTATCATACGTTAACTCAGTTTCATATTACTTAAAGTAATTCACCATCCCAAGAATTGGAAAGGCCATGCAGGGTCAGTGAACCCGATTTCACGGCGAAGTTTCATATAGTTGTTAATCTTTGCGAATACAATCGGTATTTATAACGTTTTATGGCGATTCGTTGTAAACTCGGATGTAAAACCCCTTGAAAAAACGATTTTTTTTTCACTTTTTATGATCAAATTCGTTGCATTGGTCTTTCAAGGAACGAAAGCATTCGTTTATAAACGCCATGAGTATGCCTCTGCGCCGTTACACTCTTCGATTTAGAAAAGCAGGCTTTTAATGAAAAAACCGTCCCTTTTCAGACTTAACACACTTCTGGCGCTAATAATCGTTTCTTCTTTTTGAATACCGCTACTATGGTTCGCGGACTGGATGCAAACGCAGACCCCTAGTTTAACCAATGTCTTACGTATATGAGATATACTCAGTTCCGTGATGATATCATGAAGACTAAAAGACTTACTGAACAAAAAAACAATAAAGTTG